TTTCCACATGCAAACACTAACTCAAAGCAAATGTCCTACCCACCAGATGGTCACCTGTAGACAGAGCCTCATATGTCACTGCTAACCCCACAACGTAATGGCTCTTTGTGTCAGGAAGCCATTGGTTCCAGACAAGTGAGAGCAGCATGGGGACAGTTTCTTTCCTCAGGGTGGGGATGGGAGTGGGGGCATTCTGGGTTGGCTGCAGGCTATTTTCTTAGGGCATCCTTTTGCAGAAACTGGAACCTCTGGATCTTGAGGGAATGTCTGTGGGCTAGTTGCATGTTCCCAGGTGAATTGTGAGGAAAGTCACTACCTAATGTCAGGACTGTTTTCTCAGGAGAGTATAGGAATCGTATGAACCCGTGGATCCTCCTGTCTCTACCTCCCCATCACTAGGATTACACGCATACATAACTTAGGAGACACACTCCCATGTCTTCCCCTCAGCCTCAGGGTGAACAGTACCTTTGGTGGCTTGCTCTCCTTTATTGGCTGACAGAATGTGGCCAAACTTAAGTTCGGTCACAGTCAGTCAATTATACTAATTAGTTGCTAATAGAGTTTAAAAACATGTATTGTTATCAACTGGCTGAGGACACAAATCACCTAAAATATTTGCTTCTGTAAAGAACTGTGTTCTGGTTTGTGCATGGCACTTCTCACTGCATCCTCATATGATGGAAAGAACAAGGCAACTCACTAGCGACTCTTTTATAAGGGCACTCCTGTAGCTTGGATGTAAAAATGACCCCCACCCAAACAGGCTCATGTGTTTGAATACGTGGTCCCCAGCTAGTGGCACTGTTTTGGGAGGTTATGAAACTTTAAGAGACAGGGCCTTACTGGAGGAACTGCATCACTGGAGGATGGCTAGCCTTGAGAGTTATAATCCAGTCAGCCTCTGGCCTGTGCTCTCTCTGCTTTCTGATGGTCCCAGACATGGAACCACATCACAACCTTCTCTCCAGCCTCTCTACCGTGATGGACTGTGGGCCAAAAACAAACCCCTTCGCCTTCAAGTTGCTTCTGCCAGGTGTTTTTGTCACCACAAGGAAGAAAGTGACTTTCTTATTAAGGCCCTAAACATAAAGGCTCCAGCCTCATCCCTCCAAAGGCTTCACATCCTAATTCCATCCCACTGGGAGAGAAGATTTCAACTTGTGAGACTAGACCACTACCTGCCCCACACTGCACACAGTATTCACTCCCGTGTCTCTTCCCTGGAAAAAAGACTCTGAAATCTAGGATGAGACCTGGCTCTATGTTTCTTTTCACATTATTAGTGGTTACTGGAGAACATGAAACAAAACCAGACCTGGTAATGATGGAATAACAGGAAAGTTAAGGAGAATAGATGGGAAAAGTGGGCCAAGTAATGAGTGAATGTTCTTTCCTGTCTTGCCTCACTGTTGTGTCCCTCACAGAGCAGAATGAGCCTCGGGGCTAAGGTTAATACCAAGAAGCAGTGGGAGTTGCCTTTGCTGAGCCCTTGGCATGCAGACTCATAACCAAGGGAAATTGTCCAGGCTTAGAACTTAGGAGCAAATTCTCCCCGGCTTCAAAGGCTATGATCACAAGAAGTGTACACCTGGAGACCAGCTGCAGGGAAGCAAAATCCTATTTAAACAAATAAACTAGAGCAAGAGTGAATATGAGTCTCTTCATTTATTCATAGTTTGGAAACTTTCAGCTTTTCAGAGACACTGTTTAGACTGGACCAACTGAAAACATGTTTTCATTCAAATATAAGACTTCCCTGATGGTGTAACTGGAGCCTAGCTATCAAGGCCTTATGGTATCATGATGGGGAAAGGAGAGAAGGCAAAGACCCTAGGGACTGGGAATAACTTCTAGGCCCTTCCACAAAACATGGGGATTCCCAAAGGGCAAGCACTGTCAGTCCCTAGCTTGCCGATGCCTTTGTCGGACTGCCTTAGCCTCAGTGCCAGCTCAGCTGCTTGAAATATGAGTGAGCTGGAGGGCTTTGTTCCCAGACCCATTCCAAGATCTCTTTGCTGAATAAAGTAGCTTCACTGCTCAGAAGGGAAGGGTGTCACCCCCAAAGAAAGCTTACTTAACTGAGGAACCCAGGGAAGAACCAAGCATGCAAAGGTATTCTTTTTGTCACAAATGATTTCCACACTTTCAGAAGACTTACCTAGAAGTTGAATGGATTATTGTAGGTAGCATTTCACGGGCACACGAAAAGATAAGGCTCAGCTCCTTACCTAGAAGACTATAAGGCACCCAGATATAAACAGTTTCTTGGATCCATCAGCAGAGGCCAGGAGGCACTCAGGAACAGGGTTGTCCAGCAACCTGAACAAATCAAGCTAGGATAGATGATGCAACTGCAGAATGGTCCCTCGGTTACCACTATTTTTTATCTGTCCAAAGGCAGGGCTTGAAGCTGGACACTTTGTCCATAGCACCTCTAAAATAGAAGGCTTGTCATCATCTAAGGGGTGATCTAAGTCATGTAGGAGCAGTAGGGCTGAACCCTGAATGGTGTTTTATCCAGCTCGTTCCTTCAAAGGAGAGGAGAGCAAATCTGTAAGTCAGGCAGCATAGCCAGGACTGCAAGGTTTAGCTTATCTAAGAGTAGGTCCAAAATAAGAGTCAATGCCTATAGAGGAATGGAGATCACATGACCCAAACCACTGTTTCACAGCACAGTTTATAAGAATCATACAGTCCTATCCTTTGTATTTCTTTTAAAAGAAAAGATTATTTTGCCTGTTGATGATGCTTCTCTATGTATAAGCTTTTTCAGAAGAAGAGTTGGAGATTTGGCTCAGCAGTTAAGAGCACTGGATGTTGTTCCAGAGGACCTGAGTTCGATTTCCAGCATCCATATGTTGGCTCACAACCATCTGGAACTCCAGTTCCAGGAAATCTGACACCCTCTTCTAGCCTCCACTGGCACCAGGCATACATACAGCACACAGGCATATATGCAGGCAACACATTCATACACATACAATAGAAATGAAAGTTAAAATAAACAAATAATAAAGAAAAAACACTGAAACTCATTGGTAACCCTCTCTCTCTCACACACACACACATTGAGACAGGATCAGGTCAGCCTTGGCTTGGATTCAAGTTTCTACGTACTTCAAACTACTACATACTACCATACCCAGCTAGTTTCACATTTTTAATTGTTAAACTTATTTTATACATTGCAAATATCTTCTCCAAACTTTGAACTGCACATAGAGTTTCAAGGTGTCAACAGTACCCCGTGAAAGAAATGGCACAACCCCCAAATCAGAAGAGAGTGATTTAGACAGGTGTAAGATCTACAAATATCAACAAAACCAGAGATCAGTCATAGACAATGACCTTTCACACCTGAGGAGCATTTTAGGCTTTCAAAGCATCCTTCAGTCACCTAGCTTCAGCCCACAAAAGCCTATGAAGAAAATGGATCTAGCTTCCTCACTTGCAAGGAAAAGAGATCCATCAGAGGTTGGTCAAGACCATCTTTGTGGTCCAAGCCTGACCTGTTACCCCAACTTTATATCTGAGACAATTCAGGCCCAGAGAAGGAAAGAAACTTTTTTTTTTTTAAATCATCACAGCCCTGCTTAATAGCGGACAAGGAACCAGGTGTGGTGGTGCACACCTTTAATCCCAGTGCTTGGGAGGCAGAGGCAAGTGGATATCTGTGAGTTTGAGGCCAGCCTGGTCTACAGAGTGAGTTCCAGGAGAGCCAGGACTACATAGTGAGGCCCTGTCTTGAAAAAAAGAGTGGACAAGGACCCAAAATGCTTGTCATCAGATCCCTAGGACGGGGAGTGGCCCTACTCCACTCTCACAGGATTGAGGCCATCTTGGCATATCTGTCCCTGAAAATAAGACACAGGATAAACTTCGTTCAACCACTTTTATTGGGCAATAATGGTGAAGGAACATTATTCTGTACCAAAAGATATGCTGGGTAGAGCTGCTTTTGGATTTTATTGATAGACACAAGATTCTGTTACATGAACCAGACAGAATCCAATACTCTTTATAATGATTGCTATTATTATTACATGCAGAAACATGGATTTATTTAGAACTTGTAACTAAGACTATAACTGAAAGAAGGTGGCTTTTCTTGGTATAGAATGACTAGTGGAAAATTCTTTAGTTCTCCCTGCTGTACGTGGGGTATTATCAGTATTATTAAGATATAGAATGTTAATCAGGAAAACTCAGTCTGAATGCAAGACTTAATATTTCACCCACAATGTAGGATTCATTCATTACTATAGGAAAGGACTGTGCCCACTTTCTTTTCCTGCCTTGGCTGAAGAATCACATTCCCATCTGATTCAAGTCTTGCACTGATGTCTTATGCATGATAGGTATTTCAGAAGCAGCTACAAGAAAAATGAATTATTGGGGGCTGGCGTGTTGCCACTGTATTTTACTAGTCTTGTAGCTTCAAGGAATTAGCTTCAAAGGATGGGTGAAGACTCCATTTGGTGAACAAAGAAACAAAAGAAAAATCCCGAAAGAATCTTCAAACAGCTGTGCAAGGTGGTGCACACCTTTAATCACAGCACTCAGGGAGCAAGGGCAGGTGGATCTCTATGAGTTCAAGGCCATCCTGATCTACATAGCAAGTTTCAGGCCAGCCAGCATCACATGGTGAGACCCTGTCCCAAAAAAGGTCTTCTAACAGCCCTTTACATTGGAAATGACTATCCATGGGAACACATGCCACCATGTGTTTATATTTCATATTACTTATTGTTTATATTTGTTCACATGGCTCATTACAAATCTTGTTACAGCATATATATGTATATATGTATATATATGCATATATAATATAGAGAGACACATATATACGTATATACTCTAAAGGTTCTCCAACATAAACTTTTAAAAAAGATTTTATTTTTATTCATGTATACCTCGGTGTTCGTGTGTGTGTGTGTGTGTGTGTGTGTGTGTGTGTGTGTGTGTGTGTATGTGTGTATACATATATACATGTGTGAATACTTGATGAGGTCAGAAAAGGGTGTCGGATCCCCTGGAGCTGAAGTAACAGGCCCTTGTGAGCTGCCTGATGTGGGTGCTGGGAACTGAACTCTGGTCCTGAGCTATCTCTCTAGCCCCCAACATAAACTTTTTTAAAGAGTTGAGTCCTAATATTGGAGACAATCATTCCACGAAACACTGGTAGATGTTGGGGTACAAAGCCTGCCTTCCCCACTCAGATCTGTAAAGCCCCTGAGTGATAAACCTGGATGCAGCTAGACCTTGCAAAGTGCCGACTGCTGCCCCAGAAGACTGTCTGAGTGGCAAGATCCCAGCAGCATGGTCATCCCAGGCCACAGGGTCAGGTGCTTAGAACCTGATGCTCTGTGGCATGGCACCCAGATATAGGAAAATCAACATCAGTGCCCTGAGTCCCAAGTATTTCTTGTGCACCTCCAACTGTCTGTCTTCAGTGCCTTAGAGGGAGGTTGCTGACAAGAGGAAACCTAGAGAACTGAGCCCAGCCTAGAATGACAGCATTAGTTCCAGAAGAAAACTAAGGGTTACATCCACAACTGTGATGTCAGACACTGGCCACCTGGTGCTTCCTAGATCTTCTCCAGGATTCAGAAGGAGACATCAAAAAGGACAGCCATAAAGAAACGGAGGAGCGGAGGAGCATCAATCTATCTACAGCAACAAAAGTGTTTCATAGCAATGGGCAGAACTCTTTAGGGCCTACGGCTAGGCACAACAAGGTGATAGCCAGGCAAGTCACCAGCCTTTCCAGCTCCTGCTTGCAGCTCAGTTGTAGGAAAGGTAGTCGATGAGCCGTGGAGGGATGTTTAACTTGGCGACTTTCTCTAGCCCTCGAACGCCAGTGGCCTTCCTCAAGCTCACCCTGCAGAGCTGTGAGAGGGTAAGAGGTGTCTCTGGAAAAAAGGATCAAGGAAATACATGAGGATAATTTCTAGAAGAAGCACTGTGGCCTAATGCTAAGGCAGAACTAGAAGAGCCTCCCTTTCCCCTAGAATCAGGATGGATCATATGTCACCTCTGGAAGGTCAGATAGCCAGGGACCAGAGGACCAGGCAATAAGGTTTAGGTGGCATCCACAGGAATTCACCTTGTAGGGTTGGGTCTTCTGAGACAGGGGTCTTCTGTTTTGTTGGAAGGGGTTGTTGGTTTGTTTTTGACACTTACTATTTGGCAAATAGACTTATCAGCAAATAGACTTTGTGGCTGAAAGACTCATTTGTCACACATCCAGCCAAATGAGGCATGAGTGAACGGCTTATGCCAGGGAAGGTGCTAGCAGCCTGCTCATGTTACTGCAGGCTTCTTGCCTCACTGGGGCCACAAGCCAGGGGAATACAGCAAGAGCTGGTGCTTCGTACAGCATGGTCCTCAGAGACAGAAGTAATTGTAGTGCATCCTAGTGACCAAGGACAGGAGCTCAGGACTCAACTCAAAGAAGTCAGCATAAATTCAAGGACAACTAGCAAGCTGGGGACCCAAGATGAACAACAGTGGTTCCTGGCAGCCTGGGTGTACCGGCTGGTTTTGTGTCAATTTGACACAAGCTAGAATCAGAGAGGAAGGAGCTTCAGTTGAGGAAATGCCTTCATGACATCCAGCTGTAAGGCATTTTTTTCAATTACTGGGCAGTGAGGGAGTGCCCAGCCCAGTGTGTGGGTGGCGCTATCCCTGGACCAGTTTTGGCTTCTATAAGAAAGCAGGCTGAGCAAGCCGGGGAAAGCAAACCAATAAGCAACTCCCCTCCCCTCCATGGCCTCTGCATCAGCTCCTGCCTTTGGGATCCTGCCCTGTTTGGATTCCTGTCCTGACTTCTTTAGATGATGAACAGAGATAGGGGAATGTAAACCAAATAAACCCTTTTCTCCCCAACTTGCTTTTTGGTCATGGTGTTCCATCACAGCAATAGAAACCATAAGTAAGACACTGGGATATGGGATATTTGCACAACAGAGCCTGGCTCACTTTCATAGTACTCAAAGCACTTGGCCGGGGCGCTGCTGCTCCACGTGTAGTCCGAGGGCTTCTTCCCCCGGTTGTCCCGGGCGTAGATGTTGCCTCCAAACTCTATGAGCATCTCGATGAGGTCGACGTTCTTTACCTTGGCTGCATGATGAAGGGCGGTCTCGTGAAGTTTAGCTGCATTTACATTGGCCCCTGGAAAGCCAGAGCAGAGAATGGCTGTCACCAAAGTGAGAGTATGGGACCAAGAGAAAGACTGACCGACTGCACACATCAACCTTTGGCGGAGCGCAAAAGCAATCCCCGCCCAAAATGTACCTTCTTAAAATCTAAGTGTACTAATTGTTCTTCCTTATGAAAGTGTGGGCAGCACCCCCTAAAAAAGCAAAACAAGTCTTCTTATAGGTCAAATGTCTGTTTAGGTGTCATATAGGTACCCTATAGTCTGTCCTCATAGATCCCTAGATTTCTAGAGGCTCATCCTAAGTCACCCAAATGCTGCAGCCTATACTTGGACACAGACATACTAGGTGACACAGGTGCTCTACCACAGGCACCATGAACTCATAGAAGTAATGGGTTGGATGATAAAATGAATATTCCTTAAATATATCCTCTTATAAACTTGGAGACATAAAGGGAAACAGATAATGTGCTTGAAGGTTGGCTGTGGACTCAGATCCACCCTCCTTATCTTTCTGGAGGCATACAGAAAGATTCAAAGAATTTGCAGCTAATTTTAAAATACATTAAAAATTAAAGACTTTGGGGCTGGCAAGATGGCTCAGCACCGGTCTGGTGAACTGAACTCAGTCCGAAGAAAGTGTGGGCAGAACCGACAGAAAGGGGGAAGAACCAACTCCACAAAGCTGTCCTCTGATCACACGAATGCACTACGGCATGTATACCTGAACTCACATGCAAACAATCACAATAAAGAAAACTCAAGGCAAATGTTTTAAAAGTTAAACATTTTGATTACAAAATGGTGTCTGTGAAATGTCCTCCTTGACACATAGCAATCACTGGTTTTATATAATGGATTTCCTGAGGCCTCAGACTTTGTTTGGAAGAAGATGACAACTTCTTTGAAGTCTCCTCCTGAACCAGTAAAGACTTAATAGCTAACAATTAATAAGAAGAGATTAAAAGTATTTTAAAGAAGCCAAGCAAATATCTTAGCATCGGTAAATTCCTCAAATTACAGTTTCAAACCAAAGTCTTAAAATCAAAGCTATTCCACCAACATGCCACTGTTTAGTGATCATTTTCAGTGCTGTTTTCATCTCTTGAAATATTGTTGGGGAAACAATGTTTTCTGCTTTAAACTCTGTTTAATCCTCTGGACTTAGGAGCAACATTTATCGGGCTGGAGAGATGGCTCAGAGGTTAAGAGCACTGACTCTCCTCTTCCAAAGGTCCTGAGTTCAATTCCCAGCACACGGTGGCTCACAACCATCTGTAATGGGATCTGGTGCTCTCTTCTGGCCTGCAGGCATACATGCAGGCAGAATACTATATACACAATAAATCTAAAAATAAAAATTTTTAAAGGAAAACAGAGCTGCATTTATCACAATGGCCACGGTGTGATCCTGGGAATACTCTTTCCATGCCCTCTGGCAAAATCAAGAAAGTTCCGGTCTGGAGGGATTGACTGCTCACTCAAGGGAAAAGGCTTGAATCACACAGAGGAGTTACAAAATAGTAGGAGAAGGAAGTAAAGACCGTGTAATCATTGTGAAAAAATAAATTTTAGTGCTATATACATGATTTGTAATGAAAACTAAATTGTAAAGATCACAGAATCTATCATCCAAGTGTCTTTCTCTTACTGATTCTTGCATTATCCTTGCCAACCAGGAAGGAATGTAATTATCTCAATTTTGACAATGGAGAAAAAGACACAATGAAGCAAAATGCCCTCAAGGTCAGAGAGAAAGAGGAAGCAGCAAAGATCTGGAACATACACCCCTCCTTCCTTGCTGTTTGCCACCTTGGCTCCTGAGATAAGGCCTTGGACCATGAGTGACTCTTTCAAAGTGGCCTTCCCAAAGTAAAGAATAAAACTTTTCCATTATGTGTGCTTGGCATCATTTGATTGGATAGAAAGGAAGGAGGGTAAAGGAAGGAAGCCGACTGGAAACATCAGACCAAGTGTGTGCAGTATGTATGGGCTCGGGTTAATAGTGCTCAATGAAATCAGAAATGGTGAGCTATGACCAACACCGGCAGGTTTTTATTAGAAAGCTGGAGCAGGAACAAAAGGAGGGAGGGAAGAATGTCAGAAGGGAGTGACTTTGTGATACAATGAACATTTTATGTCTTGGCCAAGCAGGGGAGGTGGTAAAGCACCTTTCCGTAGTCACTAAAACAGTCAATGTCATGTCTCAGAGAAAGGGGTCAAAGCTGGCTCATTACCAAAATCCTAACTTCAAACCAAAATAGGATTAATGTGATTTGGAGTAAACAGAAACCAGTGAAGCAAGGGTTTCCCTAGCACACTCTATAACAGCTACAATCCTGGGACATCAGCACAAATGACTCAATACACAGTAACATGGGCTCTACCAAGGTGGTGTAAGCACAACTAATCCTTAACTACTAACTTCTGACTTCTTCCAGAAGAGTTAAATATTTACTGTTAGTGGTCAGATGAAAAATTACTTAACCACAATAACTGGACTTTGATCCTGGCCAGTTCTCTTCCTATGCAAACAGAATCTAGTTCCTCAGCTCAGCCTCTCTACCTACAAAAAGAAAAGGAGCAAGCATCTCTTTGTTCCCTGTGGAGTACAGTGTGACCACTCCATATATGGCTCAGCTTCTCCAGTGGAGCCAGGACCTTTGATGTCACTGCAGAAACACCTATTACATGTTTTCTGGAGTTGTGGAATGTGGCTCTCCTTAGGTTCTCCAACAGGCCTATGACTCAGCCTCCGAAATATGAAATCTCATTGCTTCTGTAAGACTCCATGTGTTAGTACCTAGGACTGTGCCACCTTACTCTACTTCTATGTAGGCTGCAAATACTTTACAATAAGAAAGTAGCTCAAAAGAAAAACTGTAAAAGACAATCCTGTTGAGTGAACCCATGAGAAATTAAAATGACATCTGCTCTACCTCTTCCTGACTCTTCCTGTCTTCAGTTCCTGTTTGGCCGAGGCTTGGAATCCTTTTTTCTGCTTTTCTGGTACATTCTGCCCCAGACTGCTTCTTTTCTTAATGCTTAATTGCCTTCATGGAAAAAGGGAGATGCCCCTTACCCCAAATTCTACTCATCCTCAATTTCCTGGATATATAGAAATTTCCCTTTAAAAACTATTGAGAGTTGGGTGGGGTGAGCAGACAGACCTACCCTTAGCTTCAGGGTAAGTTCTGACTGATACAATTCCTGTCCCTCTACCATAATAATTGGTTCAAGTCACCCAATCAAAATTTGACAAAGCTAGACTACAGGGATCACTTTGGACACAAGACCTAAGTTTAAACCAATAGCATTAGAGGAGGTACACTAGTGACACTGGAAAAGGAGACTCTTCACTCTTCTGAAAAAGCTACAAGACAGCCTTAAAATGTAAAGTGCTGAAGGACTGAGAGATGCTGGTCTCACAACTGCCTGAAATTCCAGCTCCAGGAATTTGATACCTTCTTCTGGCCTCTGCAGGCACCCACATACATCACACACACACACACACACACACACACACACACACACACACACAGAGAGAGAGAGAGAGAGAGAGAGAGAGAGAGAGAGAGAGAGCTTGTGTCAGCTGCATCTATTTATCCACTATCATAGAATATAGCTAACATAAGAAAAGTAGATTTCGACTGGGCAGTGGTGTGGCACACCTCTAATCCCAGCACTCAGGAGGCAGAGGCAGGCAGATCTCTGTGAGTTCGAGGCCAGCCTGGTCTCCAGAGCGAGTGCCAGGATAGGCTCCAAAGCTACATGGAGAAACCTTGCCTCAAAAAAAAACAAAAAAAAACAAAAAAGGAAAAGGAAAAGAAAAAGAAAAGCAAATTCAAAGGCATAGTGACATTCTTGATCCATGAGATCAAAATGACTGTCTTTCTGCTTGCTTCTCATGTTTTGTCACATGAACCAAGAAATGACCTTCATTGTTCACCCAGTTGTAATTGGCTTCCTTATTCCAACAGCCGCCTAGGTTCCATTGGATTCTGTAGCCAAAGATTTAAGTATTCAGAAAAACAAAAAAGATTTCATCGATCCCAAACATGTGCAGACCTTCTGTTTACGTTAGGGACCTCTCTGCAGGGAGCCTTTTCCAAATACCTGCCACAAACCAGGTTATAAATGCTCCATTCTCCTATATGCTGCCAACCCTATTTCCCATTATACCACTGACTCAGATTCAGATAGCAAACCTCACCAGACAGACATTATGAACAGCTGCCTATGTTCTCTAAAAATAACCATTCATGGGGCTGAGGAGATGGATCATCAGGTAGAAGTACTTGCTGTGTAAACAAGAGGATGTGAGTTCAAATCTCTAGGACCCATATAAAAAGCTGGGCTCGGCCTAGGCACTGGAGGGGGGGGGCGGGAGCTTGGCCCTGCCTCAATGTGGTGATGGGACAGACTTCGTTGACTCCCCTTACCCTATAGAAGTATAGAGGAGCAAAAGTGAGGGAGCAAAAGTGAGGTGCTATAGTAGGAAATTACCAATACGGAGTCAGGTAGAAATATAAGGGTATTTAATAGGGAAAAGCCTTACTTACAGAGCCAACCAGCCAGCCGGTGGTAGTCTGTACAGCAAGCAGCCAAGAGAGAAACCGAAACCGAACTGCAGCCCCCTACTCACTCTGACCACGCCCTCACCAGCCTGGTCAGGTACCCCTGTAGCCAGCCCCTAAGAAGGCGTGGCTACAGCTTCCCCTACAAGGTGTGGTAAGGGGAAGGTGAGGGGAGTGGGAGGAAGGGAGAAGGGAGAACTTGGATTAGTATTAAAATAATAATAATAAAGCTGGGCATAGCTCTGTTGCTGGTAACCATCCCCTATGAGGGGTAGAGAGAAGAGGACCACTGAGGCTTGCTGGCTGCCAGCCTAGCACAAAGTCAGAGACAGACCCTGTCTGAAGGGAGGAAGGCAGAGCAGAGACCAATAAAGCAGGAGACCTGACATCCCCCTCTGGTGCATGTACAACACACACACACACACACACACACACACACACACACACACACACACACAAATAATAAAGTAGTCGCATGCATTTACTAAGTGTTGACTGCATACCAGGCATTATGGAAACATTATTGAGAATATTGCTACCACCTGGAAAAACGGGTTTTATTTTTTTCAGTTCTATAAATACTGATGCTAACACCAAGGTCTCTCTGAGTAGTTAGAAGAACCAATTTCAAACCCTTTTCTGTCTGCTTCCACAACCCAGCCCTCTGCTAGCACAGTGGAGGTAAGTCATCCACTCAGGTAAATAGTAGCTTGGGTAAACAGCAGCATACCTGCATTGAGCAAAACTTTGACACAGTCCAAATGCTCTCGTGCACAGGCAACATGTAGAGGGGTCCCGAAATGGCAATCGTGAGCTTCCAGGTTGGCCCCAACGTCAATAAGAAGCCTCACACATTCAGAACTCCCTTGAAATAAATGGGGAAAGACGGAAATGTGTATGAATTTGTACACTGAAAATGGTAACCATAACCAACAGCAGTGGGAACGGCGGCCCTGCAATGAGCAGAGGGTAAGCAGCTTATATCTCAACATGCAAAGCAGTCGATCACTCTGCATGGCCCTAGAAGAAGACAGACATCTCTCCCCTTCCCTCAGGAGTTCTCAGCACACTTGGTAGTAGAAGGAAAGGGTCACATCACGGGCACTTCCCTGCTGAGCAACAGAAGACATTGGACACAGGGATCAAAGACTATCCTGATCCTCATCTCCAGTTCCCCCTCGAAGTGGCTGGGAGCATCCAGGCTACAGCAAGCGCACATAGCTGCTGGCGTCCTGCCAGTCTCCAGGATGAAGGAACCTTTCTCTGGCTTCCTCTAGCACCTCTATGGCTTCTTTCCTGCTCTTCCTTTTCCCTTCATGGCAGGTTTGGATTGAGAGCCCACTTCTGTCCTTTCCAGGAAGATTCTGCCACGGATTCCATCTTCTCTTTCTTCCAACTCTGTCTTCATTTGTTTGTTGCTTTTTTTTTTTTTTTTTTTTTTTTTGAGGCAGGGTTTCTCTGTGTAACCTTGGCTGTCCTGGAACTCACTCTGTAGAAGACCAGGGCGTCCTCAAACACCGAGATCCGCCTGCCTCTGCCTCCCATGTGCTGGGATTAAAGGTGTGCACCGCCACCACCCGTCATCCATCTTCTCATATCACTTAGTTACCCCCTTGTGGTTGATAGCTACCCAGTAACCATCCCCATCCCTAAAACATAGCCCCACACCTACCGCTAGCCAAGCTCATCCTAACATTACAACCACCACATAGTCCGCTTTCCCAGAGGTCCCTGCTCCTAGATAAATTCTTTTCAGTCAGTGCCATTGCTCCCTGCTTAGCCTGAGTCACTTTTTACCTTATTTTTGCACCTTTCCCTCAGACCAAATCCTACTTGATACTGGATGGGCAAGGAGTTAGATGTGAGGTAACCAAGGAACACACCTCAGCAGCTGTGTCTCCTGATAGTCAAATACCCCTTGTGGAGAGACATCATTGAAGCTTCTGTTAGTTTGTTCGCAGTGTATCAGAGGCTAAGGCACCAAAGCCTCTCCCCACACAATGCATGTTAAATAAGGGTCCACATTCCCAAACAACCTGACGTCATTATAATATCACTGGCATTGAGATTTTTGACACACACTTTTCCTTTTATGGGTTTTGTTTTCTTAGAGTATCATAAGAAGAAATCCCCTAAAATGGAAAGTCTGGTCCACCATAACTTAGGAGGAGAATGACACCTATCTCACAAATATTCATAAAACTTCTTTATGGCCAGGTGTGGTGACACACACCTTTAGACCCAGCACTCAGGAGGCAGAGGCAGGCGGATCTCTGTGAGTTTGAGGCCAGCTTGGTCTACAAAGTGAGTTCCAGGACAACCGCGACTGGTTACACAAAGAAACCCTGTCTCAAAAACAACAAATAAAAACAAAAAAACAAAAACAAACAAATGGACAAAATACTTATTTATTGATCCACAACTCAGACCTTTCTCTGGGCGGCTCACAACTTGGGATGGCTCATTTCAATCTTTCTGTTGAGTGTTTGCTTTGCTTAGCTTTGATAAATAAACTTCTACTTAAACTATGTCTCTTGACTGAATTCTTTTCTTCAAGAAGACAAGAACTGGTCCTTCCCCCCATCCATACAGGTCACCATCTTCTTTTGGGCTCTAAATGCTTTGTACTTGGGCCATTTCAATGGTCCCTAACACATAGACTCACCACTCATGCAGGCCTCATGTAGCGGAGATGCAGTGTACAAAGGAGGGTTGACCTTCGCCCCATAGGACAGCAAGAGCTTCACACACTCGATGCTGCCTGAGGCACAGGCATCACAAAGAGGGGTGCTGCCATCAATGTTGCGTGCATCCACCTCAAAGAGCAGAAGGAACAAATGTCAAAGGGTGAGGTAAATGAATGTGATGATGCTTGTAGCCTTTATGCAGACTCATCTTTGAAAAGATAACGTCTTAAAATTACCAGTTTGCTGCTAAACATCAAGCCAGGCAAGGGAATTCAAAGAGAAAGATGCATGGATTGGAGGCAGGAATGCATAGGAGTCTCTTGTATAGAAGTCCCTCATTGAAGGTTCTTCCCTCCCTCCCAAGGCAGGATGAAACTCAGCCTTACCCTTACTAACACCCAAGGCAAATAATAGATATAGAGCAGAAAAGGAGAGCCTGAGGTTGCAATCTGGGAAAACAGGTATCAAGATGGGTTTTAACTGGAGCTTTGGCAAAAAAAAAAAAAAAAAAGAAAGAAAGAAAGAAAAGTGCTCCAGACTGCTTAGCATGCCTCATCTTGTGTGAAAATCACAGGCCAGGAAGACGGCAACTCCCTAGATAGGGAAAACACACTTAGAATTTATTCAAGTTTGGCTTCCATGTGGGTACACACTGAAAACCATGGAACTTGTCCCATTCCAAGCTTTGGGAAAGAGTAAATGGTGTATTTGCCTTCGCTCTGCTCTGGTGAGCTCCAAGGCCAGAGCCCGATATTCTTTGTAAGCACCAGCATAGGGGTGACGCAGATCCTGACAACTCTGCTAAGCAGCCTGCAGACCAGAAACCACTAGCAGCTAAAACTATGCTGGGAATATGCATGCTAGCAAAGGCAACCTGGTCAGAAGTTTTTTGGTCCACAGCAACTACCCCACCCCCTCCCATGGCTTTCAGCACTCTAAGCAGTTTCACTGGAGCACCCTGTCTATCCACTTGCTTGCACAACCTTAGAGTTTTTCCTTCTCTCTAGCTTTCCTTCTCTCCTGAGCCTGGCCCAGCCACTCCCACTGACAGCTGCAACTAGATAGCTGTCAGTCCCACATGGTCACCCACCTGGGCACCAGCTGCCAGCAGCAGTTGCACACACTGGGCCTGGCCCTGCAGACTCGCCGCATGAAGGGGTGTGATGGAGTCCACGGTGACCTGATTAACACATGCTCCACTCTCAATCAGCTGCTGAAGCTGTAGGCTCTCACCCCGCTGAGCTGCCTCATGCACAGGGGTACGCTCCACCCAGAATCCTGAAGAGGAAACAGAACCCTTACTAAGACCCTCCTACTGCCATCAAGACAAAGGAACACACATGAGGCTCCAGGGCCCATTGGCAGCCAAGACACCATGCAATCGGTCCCAGTGTTCTTATTAAAACCCATAAGCAGGGCTGGAGAGATGGCTCAGTGGTTACAAACACATACTGCCATTCCAGAGGACACAGGTTCAATTCCCAGCACCTACATAGCAGCTCACACAGATTTATTTATGCAGGCAAACACTAACGCACATGAAATAAAAAAAATAAATTTTAAAAAATCTATAAGCAATCTCAACTAGCGGAGGGCTAGAGTTCAAAGTCCTTGCCAAGGCATATAAGGGTGCCAGTGCTATGGCTCTGCTAACCCTATGATCCCATCTCCCACCCCTGGCCCCATACAGACACAGCTATAGCTCACTGCTATAATGCAGAAACACTTCAAAACACCACAATAATGATAATGGAAGAACATTTCCAGTGATAGGCATTCAGAAGCAAAATCTCCCAAATAGCAGGCAAGTGCACGGAAGCGTCGGAGAAGGAGGCAAAGCTGTGACTGTGCAGGTCAAGCCTTGCTTGCTCATCTCTATGCTCCTAGCACCTAGTGTGCATGTTGCTTGTGTTCACCTGCATGCTGGGTGCTTGGATGAAGGGATGGAATGGCTTCAGTAAAATATACAATTTGAAAACAGACAATCTAACTTTATTTCTTTATATGACCCGTCTTTAGGAGAAATGCAATTGCTGGTAACTACATTTTCCAGTAAAAACATCAACTGCAATAGTCTTAGAAGCAAAATTAAAGACAGAAATCAGAAGCAGCAAATGTGACAGTCAAAAGTGGAGGTGGAGGAAGCAGGGGAGGAGCAGGAAGAAATGGAAAGGGGAGAGATTTCAGTCCATCAAAGGGCACAATCAACAGAGTTAAAAGACAATACATAGGCCAGGTGGTGGTAGCACATGCCTTTAATCCCAGCGGTGTGGAGGCAGAGGTGAGTGGATCTTTGTGAGTTCAAGGCCAGTCTCGAAAAACAAAACAACAAAAAAAGACAATGCATAGAATGGAAGAAAATATTTACAAATTACATTATCTGATACGAGATTAATACTAAGAACATATAAAGGACTTCTACAATTCAACAACATAAAAATCAAATAATTCAAGTTTAAAGTGGGCAAAGGGTTTTAACAGACATTTATCCAAAGAAGACATACAAATGGCCAATATAAATATGAAGAGATTGTTAACATTACAAACAAAAAGGAATGCAAACCCAAATTACAATGAGATGCTACTTCTTACTCATTTGTTATATAGAAGGCTTTTTCTGAGATAAAACATTAAATCCTGGAGGGAAGCTCATTAAGACTCTTGATATTCTGGATGTTTTGAGAGAAGCTGAAACATTCCTTCCATTCTGCAAGAAAGTTTCTTAAAGCCCAGGAAGCAAACAACTCAATAGCATCAGGAAGCTCCTGAAACTGACCAGATTCACAAGGTCACTCACTCTCCAGACATACCCAAATAGTAAGGAGTGATAAGAGATACTCTAAAACAAGCCAAGCCTAGAAGACGCTCAGACCAACTGAGCTGCCTGGAAAGGACACTCTCCAGTGTGGAGCTGCTTACAAGTTGTGCAGTGAAGTCCAGGTTTCCAGCTTTCATGTGCTATCATCCATGCTGCATTTGGTGGTGCAGCTGCCTCTGAGTTATCTCTGATCCTGTAAGTAAACCCTCACCCATACTCCTGTAAGGAAACACAACAAATTCACCCATACTCTTGTAAGTAAACACGGCAAAGATGGAAAGAATACAAGTGTTCATCAAGAGATGAATGGATAAGCAGAATGTGGTATTAGCCTTACATAGGAGGAAAACATGAATATATGCTACAACATGCATAAACCTTGAAAACACTATGAAATAAAGTCAGTCACAAAAGGCCATATGCTATATGATTCCACTCATATGAGGTACCTAAAGTAAACAAAATTATAGGGACAGAAAGCAGCCTAATGGGACTAAGGAAAGTGGAGAATTATTGTCTACTAGGTATATGGAGTCAGTTTTGCTGGATAAAAAAAGTTATGTGGGTGAAGGATGATGACTGCTTAACGTGCAATGTACTTCTTTTTAGGATTTATTTATTTATTATGTTTACAGTGTTCTGTCTGCATGTGTGCCTGCATGCTAGAAGAGGGCACCAGATCTCATTACAAATGGTCATGAGCCACCATGTGGTTGCTGGGAATTGAACTCAGGACCTCTGAAAGAGCAGTCAGTGCTCTTAACCTCTGAGCCACCTCTCCAGCCCACATGCAATGTACTTAATGCCACTGAACTCTACATCTCAAAATAGTAACTTTTTGTTATATGCTCTTTACCACAATCCAAATGTTTAGAAGGGGACTGGAGAGATGGGTCAGCTGTTAAGAGCACCAGCTGCTCTCTTAGGGGACCTGAGCTCAATTCCTAGCACCTACCTGATGGTTCATAATCATTTGTAACTCCAGCCCTGGAGGATTCAGTACCATATTCTGGCTTCTGGTGGTACTGAATACATGTGGTACAGAAACAACATATATGCAGGCCAAACACCCACACGCATAAGATTTTTAAAGTAACTATATTGGTTACTTTTCTCACTACAATGACAAAACACCTGACATATGCAACTTAAGGCAAGAAAAGTTTATTTTCTTGTGCACACATTGTGTTCACGATCAGAAAGCAGAGAGAGATGAGTGCTAGTGTCCAGCTCCCTTTCTCCCTTTTTTCTTTTTTATTCCATCTAGGACCCCAGCCTATTCCTTGGAGCCACCCTCATTCTTTTGGGTCTTAGTTGTACCTCACTGGAAAGGCTCTCACAGAAATACTCAGAGGTGTATCTCTCATGTTATTCCAGGTCCAGTTAAGCCAACAAGAAATAATAGCCCTTACAGAAACCAAAAGCCAGAGAAGAACCTGAACCTGGAAAGAGCTGCCACCTGCTCAATAACATCACAAAAGATAGCTTTATAGCAGGGAGGGGCATTAGTCATCTAGGGCGCATCTGACACTACTGGCCACTGGACGATTCCTCTAGGGCTACAAAGTAGGGAGGAATAAGAGATTCCCTTCATCCAGACCAGTAGCAAGCACCAGGAAGGACAACAAAAAAAGTAAGGGGAAAGACCGCTTGTGGGTGAGAACCTTTTAAATGCATTCCTGAAGAGTAAATGCAGAAAATACAATCAATTGGGAAACTGGCTGGTCAGGCTTGACTACAGACTGGTCCAAGCCAATGCCAAGACCCCAATTCTGATAAAGTGCTCCATTCCTGAATCTCAATATTATATCCTGGGGGTAGTGTTTCATTGGAGATCTGAAACCCTACACTGTTTTGGCAAGCTCCCTCTGGGGCTGGAGCCCAATCTTCAATCCTTGCTATATAATTGGTCTTCCAATATCAGTTTGCTCCCATCTCCCTTCCTCTTCATGTAGCCAAATTAAGTTGGTCATTTGGGACCTGATCACAGTCTTCCAGTGACTTCTATTTCCTTTTGGAAGTCAAGGTGCCTGTGTCTTTATTTGTAGAAATCTTTACTTTAAAATTTGACTGCTTTTGTGTTTAAGGTATTTCTCATCTACGTCTTTTTTAAATGTTTTAATTATGAATCTCCAAAGTATCCTTTGACAAAGAAACATAATGTAAATGGCAATCAATGTTACTTTAAATTCACTTAGTATTTTTTTAAAAATTATATATACATACACACATATATATACATACATATATATATTCATATATATATGAAATCCATATATATATATGTTTGCCTCTGTAGAGGGACTAACTTGAAAAGACTAACGAAGAGAAAGTGAAAGAGAGAAAGTGAAAGGTAAAAGAACCAGGAAGTTGCTGCATAATGAGCAACAGGAGTCCTGTTCCACTGCAGACTGCTGAAAACACTTAGCACGCTTAGCATCCACATCATTCACACAGTAATTTACTGCTTGCCTCCTTCCCTGCTGTTAGCCACCCTAAGATACTTAATACTTGAGGGTATTCTCCCTAAGTTCCCAAGTCCCAGCCACAAAACTCAGTGAGCCTGGGCTTCATTTCACAAGGGCCTGCCTGTGCTCTCATTCTGTCTTGTTTTTATTTTTCGGTAGTAGCCTCAGCTGGCCTTGAACTCACAACCCCACTGTCTGAGCAGCTGAGATTACAAGTGTGAACCTCCATGTCTGGCTTATCTTCTTCATTTCTCTTAGAAAACAGAAAAGAACTTTAGAAAAGGTTTTCATTTGAAATCAGCTGTCTTGGTTTTCTTGTGAAGGATGTAACTTTTCACAGGGCCACATGATGGAGAAAAGATAAGGACTGTGCTTTATTTGCTCATTAAAAGTATGTTTATTACTTACTAGTATTTCCTTTGAAGCTTTTTTTTTTATTTTTAGCCTCAAGTATGCTTTTCTTGCTATTTGTCAACAACTTCTCTTTGAATTCCCATTTTAGGATAAGTTTTCCTTTCTAACCCTTCTAAGTATCATTCTATGCCTTGGAAAACATCCTGAATTCTTGCTAAGACTGGGTGGTCACAAGAAAAAAGAATAATGAGGCTAGGGGGTTCCCAATGATACCTGGAAGATCTTTTCTGTCCCTTCTCTGCAAATGCTTCGTTAAATTCAGAGAGGGGGAATACATCTACATAAGCAAAGAAAACCAACCTAAAAAGTGGTGTGCACAGTTACAGTACAGCAGGATATAAGACTTACAGGTCAGAATGGTACCCAGGTAAAACTGCTATGGAGGCTCCACTTTTCCTGAAACAGTGACACTGTTTTGTATCCAACACATTCAGTTTATTCATTTAGGCCAGAAATACAAATATCCACAAGACATATTTTTGGAGAAGCATATTAAAATTTTTCAATGACAATGTCAAAAATATTCAGGGCAGAAGTGGTACAAACTGGGCAGTGGTGGTGCATGCCTTTAACCCCAGCACTAGGGAAGCAGAGGCAGGTGGATCTCCAAGTTCCAGGCCACCCTGGTCTACAGAGTGAGTTCCAGGATAGCTAGGCCCACACAAAGAAGCCCTGTCTCAATGAAAAAAAAAAAAGAAATTCAAGAACCCCAACATTTACACACCCACTACTTGAGAATATGATTTTCTTCTCTACAGGCTATGCAGAAAATATACTAGGGAGTGATGTTATTAAAATATTTATTTATGAGTGAGTACATACCATGTTTGTCTTTTTGTGACTGGGTTACCCGGTATGTACTCAACCATATATGAATTTTAGACATAGAGCAAAGGATTACAAGCCTACAATCCTCTTCACCAAAGAAATTGGGAAACATGAAAGACTCTAGGGGATAAATGCATGGACCCCAGGAATGGGAAGGGGCAGGAACTCCTGAGCTAATTGGGAGCATGAGGGTAGGGGAGAGGGAGCTGCCAGAATGAGAGCAGGAGGAGAGGAGAGGAGGAAATGGAGGAGCAGAATTATTGAATTGGGCGAAGAATAGAGGAGAGCAGGAGGAGAGATACCATATTAGAGGGAGCCATTTTAGGTCCAAGGAGAGATCTGGCACTAGGGAGATTTCCAGAGGCCTACAAGAATGACACAAACAGACAATCCAGGCAATGGTGGAGAGGATAACCTAAACGCCCTTCCCCTAAAATGAGATTGATGACTACTTTTTTATGCCATCCTAGAGCCCTCATCCAGCAGCTGATGGAAGCAGAGGCAGACATCCACAGTTATGTGGATACACTGAACTAAACTCTGGAACTTAGTTGCAGAAAGGGAGGAATGAAGAGCAAAGGGGTCAGTACCAGGCTGGTGAAACCCACAGAAACAGCTGGCCTGAACAAGAGGGAACACATCGACCCCAGATCCTGTCTGGGAGGCCAGTACAGGACTGATCCAGACCCCTGAACATGGATGTCAATGAGGAGGCCTCTGCACTCT